CGAGGTCCGATGCGACCGGCAGGAACGAGGCTGCCATTTTGTGAATAGCCTGCCACATGTTGGTTGTCCACCTCGGTCTCTGACAGCGCCTGCACTTGGCCGCGCGGCCAAGAAGGTGGATTGCTACTGCTGCGTGATCTCTGGGGGTAGTCTCGCACGAAAATTCGGCGTGCAAGATACAACCCACATCCGCTGCGCATCCTGCGATGTGGTCGATCACCGCTCTTCGGCCGCGTGGATCACCATCGGGAATTCGGGTACACTGAAGTCCTGGACGACCAGACAGAAACTTATGAGGGAGCCCATAGAGACCCAAAATACCCAAGCGCTTTCGATACTCAATCCAGTTGTGGGGTTGCCAAGCTTTGGAGATCGGGAGGGACAGACTTGACAGAGTAGCCATCGCAGCAGCAGACATTGCCAGTCACCACGACAGTCTGTGTATTTCCGCCGCTGCGATCGGACTTCATGCCCAGGGGATCAGCAAGGCCGAGATTGGCGCTCTCATCCAGCTCCATTGTCTGCCAGGTGTGTCTATAGATGGTCTCGGAAGGAAAGCCCAAAGCATCCGCAGAAGGCGAGGAGCTCAGACAGGGACACCCACAGCGGGAGCTTTAGCTCGCATCTCGCTGGAGGGCACGGCGCAATGGTGCTTAGAAAATGGGCCAGCAGAGAAATTGGCATCACGATAGGCGGTGCGATGCTCTGTCTGTGCGCATGGAACGACACCAGAGGTTGCTGTGTTGAGAGCGCCATGTTGGCAACACAAGTGATGAGAGAATGGGAAGACAAACGCACAACGAAATCATCCGATCTCTGCCACATGGTATCCCCCCGCTGAGTACCACGACATGAACAACAATTCGTGGGCCCTTGTGCCGAGTCTCAGGATTCTTGGGCCGACTATCGCGTACAATGGGAGTTCGGATGAGGAGATTTCCAGGGTGGAGGCTCAGGTAAAGAAGCTCTTCTTCATGAGCGCCAGGTCCCTGACGAACCAGTGCATTCCTGTAGCTGCGAGGCTCCACAAGTTCGACAAGGTTGTTTCTGCTCCGTTCAGGCCGTGCTGAGCACCTTGGGCTCCATGCAACATGGTAGGCAAACGGTTCGATGCGCTTCGGTATATAATGATATCCAGGATGTCTAGAATTCGGAAGCGGCTCTAGGAAATTCCCGAGGCATTCGACATTAAACGCGCTAGGATAATTTGAGATATCCCACGAATCTAATGGTCCAGGATTCATTGTCCATCTTGTCTTACTTGGTGGAGCCAATAGAACGTCATCCAGGCAGCTGCCCAGCGATTGTTCCGCGGACCCAGGTTTTCGAGTGGGTCTCCCCAAATCGGCAGGCGTGGGTGTCTCCGAGCTCTCGAAGCTTCAAGACAAACGCGAGGTCTGCGAGAGGTAGGGTAGTTCGCTGGGACCAAGTCGGCTGGATCTCAAAGCTAGATTTCGGAGGCTTCAGAGAAAGCTATGCTCTGGGAGCTTGCGGGGAAGCTTGCAGGTTTGCTGAATATCAGAGTGCATGCGCCTTAGAGGTCTCGTGTAGTTTACGGTCGCCCGCCACCCCATGGGCGAGTCAGTCAGTCAGTCCGTCCGTCCGTCCGTCTTCCTCCTCCTCCTGCAGCAACATCAGCAAGATCAGAAACGCCTAGATGTCCTCCGCCTCCTCCTCCTCCTCTTCCTCCTCCTCCTCCTCCTCGTTGTCCTCCTGTTTCCTGATTGCTAATGGCTGCAAGGCTCGTCGCACGTAGCCCCCTTTCCTCCTCCTCCTCCTCCTCCTCCTCCTCCTCCTCCTCCGCCTCCTCCTCCTCCTCCTCCTCCTCCTCCTCCTCCTCCTCCCCCACCCTCCTCTTCCACCAACCCTCTTCCTTATAGTGGATGGCTCCTCCCTGTCGCATCCCAGACGTGCCAGCAGGGCGGGCCAGGCGTTTCGCCATAGACTTCTTCACCGCTTATGATCCTTAAGCTTGAAGCTTTCATCGTTTTCAGAGATTGACGGCGGGTCCTTTTCAAGATGTGACTCTCGCCTCAGCGCCGCGCGCATGCGGTTTCAAAGATGGAGGGCGGATGGTTTTCCAAGAGTGGCTCTCGCCTCAGCCTCGCGCTCATGCTTTTTTATTAAACGGTTGCTGCTCCTTCAAGAATGGAGGGCGGGTGTTTTTCAATATTTGGTTTTCGCTGTAGTGCCGAACGCATGTGTTTCCAACGTTTGCACCAGTTTCTGACGAGGGTTGGCGGGTGGTTTTCAACGTGTGGTTCTCGTTGCAGCGCCACGCGCATTCGCCTGACAAGTTCGCAATAGTTTCCAGATGGAGGGAGGGTGGGTTTCAATTTGTTGTTCTCGCCTCATCGCCGCGCTCGTTGTGTTTAAACGGGGGGGGGGGGGGGCGGGTGTTGTTCAATAGTTTACTTTCGCTTTACCGCTTTAAACGTTGGCACCAGGTTTTTTTTTGTGTAAAAAAGGGTTGACGGGTGGTTTTCCACATGTGGCTCTCGCCTCAGCGCCACGCGCATTCGCTTGAAACGCTTGTAACCGTTTGAAGAACGGAGGGCGGGTGGTTTCAAGCTCTGGCTCCCGCCTGAGCGCCGCGCATGTTCGCCCTGTAAGATGGCAGCAGTTACGAAACGGGTTCGCATGGTTGAACTCCCAAGAATGATGCTCTGACTCAATGTAGGGCTATCGGGGCGCAACCTTAACGTTGATTCGCGGTGTTGAAGTCCCATCGATCGTGTTCTAGCGCGACTCAGGCTTGTCAGGACACAGCAGTAACGTTGATTCGTGGGGCGGAAGCCTTAAGAATGGCGTTCTAGCGCGATTGAGGGTTCTCAGGCGGTCGCTTTCCAATGGGCACTTCCCGCAATGAAAACACATTTTGGTTGGGAGCTTTGAGGAACTTTGAGGGAGTCTCTATTGCGACATCGTTGATGGGCCTCCTCCTTATCCTCCTCGCCTTTAGCCTCCTCTGCCCTTCCGCCCCTCCCCCGCCCGCCCTACCTCCTCCTCCTCCTCCTCCTCCTCCTCCTCATCCTCCTCTTCCTCCCGCTCGTCCTCCTCGCCCTCCCCCTCCTCCTCCTCCTCCTCCTCCTCCTCCTCCTCCTCCTCCTCCTCCTCCTCCTCCTCCTCTCCCTCCTCCACCCTCCTCCCTC